CATGCACAAACAACAGCGCGTGGTTTCAATGAATGAGTGGAAGCCAAACACTTTTGGCCTGAGAGGAACAGAGAGAGATACTGTGATGTTGTCATGTGTTTGTGGATCCATCTTCTCATCTGAACCTCTGAGAGGCGGAAGTGAAGCAGGTATTTTGAGTCACGATCTCTATTCATCACTGCATTCACAATCTCGCATGTGTAATGCTATTGAAACCCAATGAACCGGCGCCAGATCTGAAATACTTCTGAAGAGCATCAGCTGAACAGACGTGAGAACTTGAGCTCCATTCAGCAGAACTCCAGCACTTCTAGAACCATCCATGGAGCTAATTTGCTACAAAAATGCATTTGAATACATCACTTCACACAAGAATCAAGGGGGATTGTGGGGAAAATGGCACAATTCACATCTCTAGTGGGTATTTTGAGCAGGTCTACTATAGGAAACTGGGTCACGAACAATGAGGAGACTCTTATTCAAGTCTCAGATGTTTCTCCTAAAATGAGACACAAATTCTCAAAGGCTCAGTAGATGTTCTACTATAAAATGTATGTGGAGCAGCTCAGATAATTTGATGAGTTAATAATGAAATCTCCGACTTCTGATTGCTATCTTGGCAAATCTGAGCACAGTTTGAGACAGTATTGAGATCTTTTCTGAAAGCCTAGAGGAGACACGTGTGAGATTACTGGGGTCTTTTTCTCAGGAGAAGAGAATTTTATCTTGTTGGTGTCTCTGAGAAATAGCTGAGATTGTAAAGCAATAGCACAGCCAAAAACTACCAGTTTTTCATCATTTAACATATTATCCTGATTTTGTTCCAAACCTGTTTGGCTTTCTTTTCTTCTGTGGAACACAAAAAAGCAGATATTCTTGAAGAACACTGGGAACCAAACAACTTTAGACCACATTGGCTTTCACGGTATGGACATTTCTCAGAATATCTTTTTTTGTCCATACAGTGAAAGTCAATGGGGTCCAAAGTTGTTTGGTTCCCAACGTTCTTCAAAATATCTTCTTTTGTGTTCCACTGAAGAAATAAACGACACGAGGGTGCACAAATGATGCCAGAATGCTCCATTTTGGGGGAGCTAGCCATTTAAAGTGTGATTTTTCTCTTCTATGGGCAGGGCTGGATCCACAGGCGCTCATGGTGAACGGGTTCGACTCTCCTGTGAGCTTCTACTGAGATGTATGAGCATGAAACAGAAGGAGTTTCTCTCAACAAACAGTCTTTGCTTAGACAATGACTTCAGTTCATGGTCATGCACAAAGACACACACATAGAGAACACACACACATATATATATACACGAATGCATCTTACCTCTCCTTTAGCTGGAGAAAAGCAGTGAAAGAATCGTCCTATCAACTAGATCATCAGTAAGAGGGGAAGAAGAGAAGAGCGGCTGATCTAACCGAACGTCACGCACACGTTCATGCTTCAGCTGTGTGTCTGCTGTTATTCTGTTTAACCACTACATGAGATGATAGATGACATGAAACATCATCTGTGTGTGAATATCGGCAGAAGAGCTTCACGACTGCGGCCACATTCACCGAATCCAATGAAACCAGCCATATTATAACAACACGATGGATTCAAACGGCCTCAAGAGGAAATTAAGGGATGCTTTATTAGTAAAATCAATTTTAAGATTAATCTTCTAAAGCGTTCATTAATCTTAGTTCAAGTTAATTCCAACATTTACTGATACATTATTCAAATCAAATATTGTATATTATTATTTACTTAACCTCGGCTAACATGCACGAACAAGGAACAGTTGCATTTTTATTAACTAATGTTAACAAAGATACTGTAACAAATCTACTGCGCATTTTTAGATAATATTAGTTAATGCATGAACTAATGGGACCTTATTGTAAAGTGTTACCAAAAATATGTTGATTATAAACTACTGACGATTTCAAAAAAGACTGACGCGACACGTTCTGCCAATATTCAGATTCTTGAATTCTTTACATTTATAGACTTCATCTACTTCAACTATACTAACTATTTGGTCACATCTTTGGTATAAAAACCCACCCAAACTCTCTGTCATGTGTGTGTTTGTCTCTATCTGGTTGTGACCCAGTACGACCGGCCCGAAGCAGAATCAGATTCATTCTGACTGAGCTGAACATCTGACAGATCGACTGACACCAGAAACAATGACAACGATTAACACTGAACACTGATTATTAACGAGTCACTCGTCAGTGAGAGGGTTTGAAAGGCTGTGTGTGTGAGAATACAGACACACATTCACATGCAAAACATTATTACTCAGTCACTTAAAGAATAGAAAAGACTTATGTCAGAAATATTAAAGGAATAGTTCAGCCAAAAATGAAAACTTGCTGAAAATGTGTTCACCCTCAGTTCATCCGAGATCAAGATGAGTTTGTTTCTTCGTCAGGTTTGTAGAAATGTAGCATTGCATCAGTGTCTCAGCAGTGAATGGGGACTGGAGTGCTGTGGATTACTTGTGGATTATTGTGATGTTTTTATCAGCTGTTTGGACTCTCATTCTGACGGCACCCATTCACTGCAGAGCATCCATTGCTGAGACACTGATGCAATGCTACATTTCTACAAATCTGATGAAGAAACAAACTCCTCCTGATCTCGGATGAACTGAGGGTGAGCACATTTTCCGCATGTTCTTGTGGGTGAACGGTTCCTTTAAGCCTCACCGTGTGCACACGGCTGTATTTGACTCCAAACACACGTGTGTTCTGTGATTAGACTCCATCATGATCATCATGCCATGAGCTGAGCTGCATTACGACACATAATGAAATGCTCATGCAGTGTGTGTGTTAGGGTGAGTGTGTGTGTGTGTGTGTGTGTGT